GGGGGGATTTTTAATTGTTGATGGGGTTTCTGATTTTAATTGTGAGCCACCCAGAGTCACCTGTTGGGGGGATATGGGCGGCATACAAATTTAATAATAAATAAATAAAAAAAATATTATAGTAAATGCTTCTGATTAAAACAGTACAGAAGTCCATTTAAAATTGTCATACATATTCCTTTTTATTAAAATTATTTTATTTTAGCTCTCGCTGACTGCTCTCTCTTTTTGCACCGTAAGAAATACTGCATTTTTAATGGCCTCTCTTAATTTACTACTCTTGACTTACATTTTTATTGCTATCGTCACACATTTTATTGATGCTTTCCTTTCTTGAATACTTTCTTCCATTAGGAATTTAAGTAGTCTATGGTCTTCCATATAGATACTGACCAGAATCAAAACTGCTGAATTTATGTGCTATGTTCCCGCCTTCAATTTAAATAAAGAGAGAGGCCGAATTGTAACTAACCAGCGTCTTCAGAGACCATGTCCTGCAGCACCTTAAAAGAACTGGACTGGCGTGGTTGGCTGGGTCCTTGAGGGTCATCGTGTAGCATCCGATAAACATCGGACTGGGGCACTGCAGCTGGAACTGGCTCACTGCAAAGTCAGTGCAAGTATGAGATAAAGAGAGTTAACTATTAAAGGAGGACACAGAAAGACACTGACACATATATCAGAAAATGAGTTGTGGAACAACTCCACATCTGTAGTTATATATATTTATCCTTATATAGTGTGGGTTCAGAAAAGTTACTTCAGTTACACCTAGAGTTTTGGGCTTGCAGAATGCACGTGGACACTTTCCTTGCAATGACTGACTCTCCTTCCTGCTGTCAAAAATATCCAACATATCACAAAATGTTTTTGAAAGTCTCTGTCATTGTATGGTACTTGAAATTCAATGAGGAACAAGAATTCAAATGTCTTTTGAGCAGGCAGAACTTGCTAAATGGTTCTTTGGATCCAGTTCACAATTGCAATTTCTTCTACAATTTGATTTTTATTGCACTGTCTTCATAAAACAAGAAAAGAACTACAGCAACTTCTGTTCTATCTCTGTACATGGTTAGCATTTGGGCAAGCACAGACTGAAAAGTTTAGGTTTTGGTGGTAGGAACTGATAGCAATTTGTTCCCCAGGGTATGTTCTATACTCTTATATTGATCTGGAGCACTGGAAAAGCTTGCATTGTAGCTTTTTGCTCAAAACAAATATTAAAAAGTAAATCATTATATTAAAAATAACCATGTAACAATATAATCCAAAAATCAGAAGCAATAGCAATTGATCGTATCTTCATTCAAATAGAAAATAAAGGGGTCCACTGAATTCACTAGATGCCAAACAGACATTTCTAGAAGATCAAGACAAGGTGTCTCCTGGGCCTATTCTCTCACAATGGGGCAACTTTCACAGGACTTTGAAAAATGCTCAGATTTAATAATAGTTTAAATTACATATTTAAATGTTAAACTTTCAAGTTGTAACCTTTTTAAACATAATACGTTATTATTAGGTCTTGATCCTATTATCATTAAGGCACAATGGAATATTTCAAAGGAAATTTCAGGATGATATTAGTTACTACACACAAAATACTTCTGGGCAGTAAGATACCATCCTTACATTTGAGTCTAATGAAAACAAAGCCCAACAATAAAAGCATTTCAAACTCTTTTTACCAGAATGGTTGTCAACAGCAGGTTCCACTACTTGTAATACAATCAGTGAAAATTTCATTCATAATTCCAGCTTTGTTATGAAAAGCCCCAATGGAACACATGCAAAAATGAAACAAGTCTAGCATATTAGCATGACAATTGGTTATCTACTTGGATCAAGATACTTTATTAGTATTATGGCCCAATCCAATGAGTCCTTATCTGTTGAAGTTTAAATGTGTCATATAATTTAAATAAATGTAGCCTTCAAGAATATTTATGAATTGTTTTTAGAACTTTCACAACTCAGCTAATGATATGTTTTTTAAAAGCATAAAATATATCCAATTAAAAAAGCACAAAATCAGCATTGAGCTGATAACTCACTGGTGAAAAGCAAGATCCTTCAGAATTTATTTAAAAAAGCAAAGGTCATCCAATGACCTTTATTTAATTAGTGTTACCTTCAGGAATATTTTGGTTCCATAAAACATGAGCAGTTTCTCCCTTCCTCCTAGACACAATTCTATTAATAGACACCACATAGAACCAACTTTATTAATAATTTTAGAAATCTGGCAATAGTTTTTAAAGCTTTTCAGAAATTGTTGGTTAATTAGCAAGAGAGACGGGAATCAACTGAAAGCACAATTTTATCTATACATAGAGGTATCACTAGACTCCTATCATATAAGTATGCACAGAATGCAGCCTCAAACTGTAATTATGAATAATCAGTTACCTGGGAGTAATTCTTAATGTAATTTTATGCATAGGATTGTATTATACCCAACTTGATTGATGGATAAAGCTCTGTGCCTGCAAACTGGCCAAAAAACTTAACACATCTAAGATTATATATCTAAACATGAACAATAGACTGGTGTAATCATACTAGTTTTTCATAATGAGAAGGAAATTAATTTTCCCTAATATACTTTGAGATTTTTCATTTTCTAGTATAGGATATAGGTCATGGAACAAAATAAAGAGAGATGAAACGACTTAGAGATCTTTAATGAGATATAGAAATTCTTTCACTATTACTCTTTTTCTCTTTTTGTTTCCAAGGAGCTAAGCAAATTCTTGGACAGATTTGTAAT